GCATCGTGAGAGGAAGGGACTGAGACAAAGAGAGTGTTCTTTCAAGGTCTGGTTATGGAGGACACTTACCTGAGCTAGAAGCAAGTGACGAAGGTGGCATTGATGTATCTGATGTGGGATTAGTATTGTGCTGAAGCGCGTTGACTCAGGGAACTGTGAACTCATTGTAATCATAATTTTTGATAATATAAGTGACGGGTCTTGGTCCTATTCTTATCTACCTTTGTCTCGTGTGTGGCAACTGTGTCCATTGAGTGTGAAGACGATGTTTGATGTATGCACATCTGCGTGAGTTGGTCCCCAGGACCCATGCACAAAAGCCCGAGGAACGTCTGAGCTGTTTGAGAGCAAAATCTACGACAGAGAAGAAGAAAACTATACATGCTCGCAGATGTATTGATGTGGTTGAATACCGAGTGGTAAGTGAGCCGTGATGCTGCTCTCGATTCCCTCGCTTGTAGGGCTTGGGAACTTCGGATGTGGCAGCCCAACAAATGCCTTAGCTGTTTGCTTGGAAACGTCGGATGTGGCAGCCCAAAGAATGCCTGAGCTGTTTGAGAGTGAAATCCCAATGGACCTAATCCCAAGCAATTATTTGTCGTCCTTCACTTCTACAAAGCACGTTCTGACTTCAAGGGACATAATTTCAAGATTACTGTCTTACATAGTAAAAATTTACTAAAATAGAATATCCAGTTTGACTAACTCTCCGCAAACGAATATCTTGGCCCTGCCAATGATGAAGAGCGCAGCGAAAGAATATGCAGTTCGACAGTTTACAGAGCGATATAGACAGCTGAAAAGCCACGGAGTGTACGGTTTCGAATGCCTGAGCTGTTCGAGAGCGAAATCTACTATTCAGAAGAGGAAAGTAATGGCTTTTCAGCTGTCTATCACTCTCTAAGCTGTCTAACTGGATGTTCTATTTATTTACTGTGTCATCTAATTTGTTTATGAATGGAAGAAGGGAGCTTTAGATTGGGAATAACATATCATCCAGGTAATTAGCTCGGTTGGGAGAGTGTCTCTTTTACACCAAGAGAGTCAGCGGCGGTTCAAGTCCGTTATTACCCAGATGCAGTGTTGCATACCCCGATGGTCCGTGGCCCTTGACTGGTCGGATGCCGACCAGGTTGGCTGGTCGGCACCTACCGGTCGGGGGTCGTCGGCACCCTGCAAAAAAAAAAAAAAGGGGTCCGGAACCCCAAATGACCCCACCAACACCCCCAAACCCACCCCCAACACCCCCACAACACCCCCAGACCGCCCCCCAACACACTCATACCCCCCCAATTACCCCCTATACGATTCCTATATCCCCTTATACCCCCCTATACGCCCACCACGACCCCCCCATACCCCCCTTATCCCCAGAAGTTTCTCAGTGGATTTTGGCTGTACTCAGCAAGCGCAGTACAGCCCCCAACTCAGATTTGAAAAAAAATCGGTGGATGGTTGTTTTCTGACTGGTCGGCAGACCGCCGACCGGTAGGCCCTACTGGTCAGCTGCAATACGGTCGGCGGTGGGGTCAGCGGTCGGCAGGTATGCAACCCTGTCAGATGAGAAAATAGTAAAATAGCTTATGTCCTTCGAAGAAGTTGGATCTCTTTTCTTTTGTAGAAGTGAAGGACGACAAGTTTATTGCTAGGGTTAGGTCCGTTGGGATAGGGATACATAGGTAACCATGTGTCTGTTGGGATCTGGATCGTGTCTCCTCGATCTTGTAGGATTCTGTCTGGGTAATGGGCCTCGCCGCACTGCTTACCAGTGCAAGGAAATGAAAGATATCGAGAGGACAGAATCCAGATAGCACAATCACATTGAAAGCAAGGAAGTCCCACAGTGTCCAGAAAACAGCATTGCACCAATATTACACCAACGGAGAATCGAAACACTGAAACCGAATGTCAATTAGAGCTTACTCTCGTCCCCACCAGCATACGTATCCAGGCCCTCTCTCCCTACTTGGTGCTCGGCGCCCAGGCTACTCCCGACACAGCTACTTCCTGCCTACGAATTGACAATGCAACTGTTGACATCAGCAGCCACCGAAGTACTTGAAGATGTCGACCAATGCAGACCATCGCCAATACCAGGTATGCGCCCTCACATCATCATCCTCATCTCCCCCACTCTCTCCCTGTCCTTGTCTTCCTCCCACGTCTTCTCCCTCGTGCACGAAGACCACCACCACCTCCACTGGCTGTCCAAGCCAAGCCCTGGCTATGTAGGGCTGGCTATGGCGCTGCCCTCAGCAGCGCCCTGCCTTCTTCCAGCGCCCGCGCGCACTGCCAGGCAACTAGCGCTAGCGCACAGCGCACAGCCCGCGAGCGCATGCTCAAGCACCGCTGCCGCATGCACTGCCTAGTGCCCGAATGTCCCCACCAGTGGCGAGCTCTTTCCTTTATGGAAAGTGCTCGCCCAGTTTGCTGTCTGGCTGGGCCTTGTGTGTTTCCAGTAGCTTCCAATCGGGGCAGAGTGTATGCGCCCAGGCCCATTCAGACAGTGGCCTGGGACCGAATTGGTTAGGCACGCCCAACCACCCAGGAGTAAACGTGAGGTTCTCCCTACTTCGCCTGTGCTGCTGGAAGAGCCTAGAAGGCTCAGGAATTATTTCTGGTTCTCACGAGTATGGAGGATGTAACCAAATGGCGCATGGCAACTGTCTGGCACCCACCAACCTTCGCCAAAATTGACGAACTCAGGCCATATTGGAATTCAGGGGCCCGCCTTGACTTAGGGCGGGCTCATGTTTGCTGAAAGGGCCCTACAGGGGCATGCCGAGGAGCTAGCTTGTAACAAGGCCTCGTCAAAGATCCATGCCCACATGGGGGCTCCAACAGGCTCTGCTCAGGCCCCTCAGCCTGGTCTCATAGCCCTATAAATAGGCATTGGCACATATTTGCAGGCCCGCCTTCACTTAGGGCGGGCACGGCACTTTCAGACACTGCCGAGGGACTAAATCCTCGCACCAGCTTCTTAAAATGGAGAATTCATCTTCGGCAAGAATGAGGAACAATACACCTGCCATGGCTTTTGTCGTTTTCCCATTTGGTGAGTGGTGCGGTGAGGCCCAGTGTGCCTTTCTTTCTGAGGAAATGAATGTTGTCGTTCCCCTCAGGATTTGAACTCACGATCTGTTTATTAGTGGCTATGTCTGTGTACTATTCAGCCACTAGGCAGATATACATGAATCATGCTAGTAACTTGGCTGATAAGAAATAATGATTCAGAGCATACTCACACTAGGACTTTGTCTACTAAGCTCTGCATGTGATGGCGGTTAGATTCATCTTAGGTCTGCCAGTCTGGCTCTGGCTGTAATTGCAGTCAGATGCATTAAGGAAAGTACTAGCGTGAGTGTGCCCTTCATAGGAATGCGTTTTGAGATTAGGTATAAATTCATTTCACCAATAGCATGAAGTACTTGCGCAATTATGAATTTGATTCAATTGGAACCAAAAAAAAAAGGAGGAATCGTCGACGAAGAAGATGAAAGAAGAAGAAAGAAGAAGCCGAAGAAGTTGCAGACGAGCAAAGAAGAAGAAAAAGGAGGAATAAGAGGAAAGAAGAAGGAAAAGGAAGAAGACGAAGAGGAAGAGAAGAAGGGACTGAGATTGTCGAGGGTAGAAAAAAATAGTGGAGAGAAGAAAAAGAAGGAAGGTGATGATTGGTAGAGCACGAAAGCGGCATTCATGAGGTTGTCGGTTCAATTCCCCACAGTCTCCAATCGACCCCCCACACCTCCTGAGGCGGGCTGCGCGTTCACCAGCTGAGATAGTCAGCTTGTCCCTTCTGTTGTTTGGTGGGGAATCCACCTGTTGCCGAGGGTCAGGTTCAACTCTGAGGGGATAGGCTCAACCCATAACCCTTAGTGTAGCTTGCCGCTAGAGGGTAGATCAAGGTGTGTATCATTCCTAGTTAGGCAGGTAGTGGGAGATATATGTCCTTTCATTTTTCTTTTCTTCGCTCATCTTATTTCTTCTTCTACTTCACGTGCTTACGCTCTTATTCAATAGTTCTGTGACAATATATATATTGAGAGAAAAATATAGTTTACAAAAAGAAAAAAGAAAAAGAACCAGAGCGAAGAAGAAGAAGAAGAAGAAGAAGAAGAAGAAGAAGAAGAAGAAGAAGAAGAAGAAAGGAGAAAAAGAAGAAGAAATAAGCAGACAAGAGAGGAGAAGAAGAAAGAAGAGCGAAAAGAAGAAGAAGATCATGAAAGCTTGAAGGACTTACAAGTTGAAACGACAGAGGTGACCGCAAGGGAGTTGATGGGCGGTGGGCGGAGGGACTGGCAGGGGACACTTGAAGACGCAGCAATGGCGGCGGGGGTGCGATGAAAGTGACAGCAATGTGATGTCCGAACGTGTGTGCATGAGCCCACAAGGTACATGGAGTCGAATCCAAGCTCATACTGGCTTCCGGGATGGCACCGCCAGGGCCCCACACAGAAGAAAAACCTAAAATAAACAATGAAAAAAAACATGAAGTGATGGGGGAAAAGAAAAAGCACTTACCTGAGTAGCCTCAGAAGTGGGGCTACCGGCCCGCAAAAAGTCCTCGCCACCGCACAGGGCCCCCAGGCCCTGAAAACGTCCTTGGAGGGTGCAGAAGTAGGGGAGCGCCAGGTGAACCAGGTGGTGCCTTTTTACTGTCGGAACAGTAACTGACGGTTGGCAATGGTTGTCAATTTGTACGCTGCGGATGTCATCTCTCTTAGTGGATAAATGTATCTGGTCTTGATTTGTGCGCTCCTGACATGTCATCTCTCTGGTTGTATAACGTACAGGTGGAAAATGGATCTGGTCTGCACGTTGCTTTTCTCCGGATTGGTTCTTGCGACAACGATCAAGATGCTCAAGGATATCATTTACGTTCTCATGGAGAGCACACCAAAAGAGATTGATGCAACAAAGGTGTCTGCTGTTTTCCTATTCCAGCTTCCCCCCTCCCCCCTTCCTTCTGCCTTGTCCTGGTTCTAGGCCTTCCTCCTCAGTCTCCTCCTCCTCCTCCTTCTCTCCTCCCTCCTCCTCCCTCCTCCCTGTCATGGAGAGCACACCAAAAGAGATTGATGCAACAAGGGTCCTCCCTGTCATGGAGAGCACACCAAAAGAGACTGGTGCAACAAAGGTTTTTGGGTTTCGTCTTCTGCCCCCTCTCCCCTCCCTTCTGCCTTTTCCTCCGATTGTGCCGCCCTCCTCCTCCTCTCTCCTCCCTCCTTGTCCTCGCCATCATGATGATTGATGAAACAAAGGTGTTAGGTTTTCCTCTCATGCCGCTGCTCCCATGTCTTCTGCCCTTGCCTGCCACTGTGCAGGCCTCCTCCTCCTCCTCCTCCTTCCCCTCCCTCCTTCCTCCCTGCTTTTCTTTGTGCACATCATCGTCCACGTCATCATCATCATCATCATCATCATCATCATCATCATCATCGTCATCATCATCATCATCATCATTATCGCCGTTGCTCTAATCATTATCGTCATCATCGTTGTAAGCATACCATCATCATTGTCAGCATCGTCATTGTCGTCACCCATCAACAGTGTCATCATTCGCTTCCCTTTCTTTCTCACTACCTCAGATCTCTCATGTGGTGCATGATCAATATCCTCAACAGAAGACCAGTGCTGCCTGTGACATTGCCGATTACATTGTCTTGATTTTGATCTGAGTTTTGCAATTCACCGCTATTGGTGTGCAGGTCTATTGGATAGGGTTTGAGCTCTGACTCTAGCACTGTGTCTCATTGATGCAAGGGGCATGGCGCATAGCGCTGGGCTTTCCAGCCAAACAGCAAGGAAGATTTCCTAACTTCTGATCCCACAGAGAGAGAGAGAGAGAGAGAGAGAGAGAGAGAGAGAGAGAGAGAGAGAGAGAGAGAGAGAGAGAGAGAGAGAGAGGAATAATTTCTATCTAACACCTAAACTTTAAGCCCTAAATTCAGCAGAAGAAAGGCTGTGGAGGTACTTAGGCTTTGCAACTTTGCAGTCTTGCACTATTACTCGTTGGTCCAAGGGGTATGGCTCACAGTGCTCTCATCGCGACCCTGAACACAAACCCTCTAAACCATAGAGTCATAGACCCCTAGACCATAACCCCTCTAAACCATAACCCCCCAAAGCAAAAAGTGCCCCCTAAACCGTAAACCCTGAATTCAGTAGAGGATAGGTCTTCTCGGAGTACTCATGTGAACGTCCAGGAATCATTGACTGTTTTTGACACCAGACAGCAGGGTATACATCCATAAAACCCCCTAAGGCCTAAACCCCTTAACCCTAGCCACTAACCCTCTAAACCGTTAACCTGACACAGTAAATCGTCAAACATAACACCCTCAGTTCAGTGGAGGATAGGCCTTGGAGTACTTGATTGAAACTTTTGAGGAGGAATGCTTGCCATTTTTGACACTGGACCTGAGTTTAATGTTTTAACTCCTAAAAGTTTTGTCTTGGGTGTGTCTACTCTGGTCTATCCCCACGCCAACACCCCCCCC